TCGAGCGCAGCCGTTGAGGCCTCAACCTATGACAAAGTCCGTGTCAACTCAAGAGGCACCGAGGTCCAAGAGGCCTCGCCCGGAGGAAGTGCGAGCGACAGAGGCTAAGCCAGTGCCGGTTATTGATATAACCGACGCTTTTTAGGCTCCTCCGCCGCGGGAATGCCTATTGCTCCCGAGGATATGGGTTTTGCATCCCAGTACATAATTCCATACCTCTCTCTGGCCCAGATAGAGGTGACGCTGAACCTTCCGCCTCGATTCTCCCTTGTCTTCCTAGCTCTCTATGAGTCCTTTTTTGAACAGGATTGAGATGTCACCACTCAGTCCTCTCTCGTCGACTGCACCTGCAAGCAGATATCCCACCAAATTCATGTAAGCTTCGATGTCTCTTTCCTTCTTCCATGTGTTTATTTGGTTTCTCCTCTTTGGTCTATTTCTTTACTGACGTCTTCTTAATTTTTGGTAGTCCCTATTCTCTCCTTCCTCAACTTTATTGAGATGGTTAAAGTTGAGGATCAAGGCAAGGAGATGGACCGTCTAGAACGGAGCCTAAAGGCTCTCCTTGAGGCAAAGAACGCAGAAAGGGATAATTTCAAAAGGCATCTGGCCCTCGTCGCCAAGGAGCTAGAAAAGGTGAAGGCGGAGGTGGACGAGGCCAAAAACTAGTGGAAGCTGCCCTTAAGCAAGCTGCCGATGCCAAGGACAAATACCTTCACCAAGGTCGACAGGAAGGCTATGATATGGGCAAGTAGTAGGGCTATGACATGGGCAGAAATGAGGGGACTGATGAGTTCTTAACCTCTGCGGAGTTTGCCCAGCGAAATGTGGAGGTCACCGCTAAAGCCGTCAAGGACTCTAAATCCTTTGACGAGTTACATGACATGCGGACTACTGATGTGCTATCTATCGGTGAATAATTGATCGCCAGGATCAACAGGCACATTCTTGGCCTCAATATGGACTTCCTCTATGAGCCTCCTACAGACGACGAAGCCTCTCCTAGGGACAATGAGGGCGGCGACGGAAATGGGGACGCTGAGGGAGTTGACCCTTCAACTGTCAGCGCCCATCTGTCAGCTGATGTGGCATGGTGTTGGTGATGTAGAGCTCGATTGTTGTCCAATATGGCGAGGTAGATTTTACCTCACAACAGTTCACATTAAAAGTCAAAAGAAAAAATTGAAAATCACTATGAGCATCTATTAAATCCAAGGCAGCTCAATGTCTACAATAATGGCAAGTGATAATTAGTTTTTCAAATTTGGAGATTGTAATGTTTGAAGACCTTTTAATGAGAAGCCTCTCAAAGGTGGCGTTAGCTTCCTTTTAATTTCCGGATTGTTATTTTTCCAGATCTGTTTTGTAGCATCGTCACCAATCGTGAGATCCAATAAAATCGTACATAATAAAGTCGACCTTGAGGGAATATTCTTGCCGTAATATGGTGGAGCAACGAGATGGAAGCTAACGCCACCTTTAATTTCCGGCTTGTTATTTTTTCAAATCTATTTTTTGAGAGTTTCAACGGTTAAAAATTCTCAAAAAATATCATATATAATTTTTTTCTATTACAGTTAAAATTTTTAAAAAATATTACATCTCAACTTAAATTAAAAATTTAAATTTACAAAGCGAACAAAACTTATATAAAAAAATGACTCATATTATGTCTTTTAACACGTGGACATCATTCCCCATGTAAAGTTTTGGTTAGAAACAATCAATAAATTACCGTTTGGTTCATAAATTTAAACATAATTTTAAATTTTATGAAAGAAAATACTGCAATAAAAAGGTTAAAACAGTAATTTGAACTTATAAAACAAACGCATGATACAATTCAAAGAGCAATACAACTATTGTATTTAACTCTGCACCACGAGATTTTAATCAACGGTTACATTTTTCATGAGAAAAAATTTTAAAATTTTGTAAGGACAAATGTTAAAAAAAAAATCGTATTTTAATAAAAGAAACGTGAGAAAAAAAATTAAATACAACGTGAAAAGATTAAACTGTAGAGTAGCATTAAAAGAAGGCAAAAAAATAAAAAAAATAAAAAGAAAACATTAAACAAAAAAGGAAAAATAAATTAAATATTTGAAAAAGTGAAAATAAAAAGATAAAAAATATGGGGTTGACATGTGGCGGAAGGAGGAGCACATTTAAAATTTTCTTTGGTTCTTTTAAGTACGTAATATTAGTTAAAAGCACGCGTCATTCCTTGTAACTTTTTGTAATAGAAATTAAAATTTCTTTTAAGATTTAGTTTTACCTATTTATTATCATCCTAATATTTGAGTTTATCAAAAATAAAAAATAAAAAAGGTTAGTAGAATACATTTCAAAGGGAGAAAAGTTTTTAATGAAAAAAATTAGACGGTAAATTATTTATTAGTATATATAAAAAATGTATTTTAAAAGCTTGTATGAGAAGAACATTCAATCACGGATACATTTGAGAAAACAATATTGAAGAGAGTAATTAGGAACAAACATTTACAAGAATCACAATCAGACAAAAAAAATAACTACAGGAAAAAATATGTTTAAATTATAGCACATATGAGAAAATTTATTTTAATAAAAGCAGTTTTAAGAAAAAGAGTTTTCTGAGTGCGGCTTATATCTACAAAACGAGCCCAATCGCATCACAAAATGAGATTATTATGCCTGAACTCTCCGACAGTCTATGTTATCCATATTCCGTAGGCCTATTTTTATTCTCAAAATTTTATTTCTACATCATACAAACATGAACCTTATTCTTTTACAATGGGGAACTAATTATTATAGTTAAACATTAGTTGAATACTTTCATTTAAGAGAGGGAAAAGTTCTTCATTTCACATATCAATTCCCCTTTCCAAATTATGTTTTCAACACACATCCCAATTTAGATTAGGTTTTATTTTATGTTTAAATTTACACTTTAATTACATATCTAAACACCAATTCATATTGCAATTTTCATATTTCACAGTTCACATTTTACATTTCAAACCAAAAAAAAAAAAGGAGAAATCAAATTGCTAGAATTCAAACCCACAATTCAAACTATGTTTCTATAGGATATTGATGGTGATGAACACCACTCATTAATAAAAGATTAATTCAACAAAATAAAACTCACAGATGAAATTCATTTTATATTAGTGGTAATGCACTGGTGCTTAGCACCGGTTGTGCGTACAATCTTTTTTCTTACATGTTGCTTAAAACTGTAGAAACATAGTTTGCATCCAATAGACACTGATGTTTCCGACCGAGTGGCTCTCCCTCACCATAGGCTGGACTTTTATAAATATATATATATATATGAGAAAATTATGTAGAATTTACTTTTAAGAGTGTATGAGTCTGAATTTTTACCTTTTATTTTTTATAAATACCATTTTGTTAATGTAATTATTTAACTATAAAATTATGAACCAATAATAAAGAGTAAAAATCTTAATCCATATAATTTCAAAAGGTATTTATTAAGATTACTCTTTAAATATCTAACGATTACCGATCCAAATAAAAAATATAAAACAAATTTCTAATCAACCAAAACTTATTAAGATAGAATGTCGGTCATTAATACAATGCGCAAATTAAGTTAAATTGAAAAATTAAAACAAACTCCTAAGCATGACCAATACAAACTTATGGTTTCTTTTTAAGATTTTGCACGAGTAAAATGGTAAAATATCTATAATATAATAAAAATGTGACGACACAGGTAGTTGTTGACCAATTTTTTTTGTTTATGCTTTTCGCCTTTTGTACTTTTTATTTACTTATTATTTACTCTTTTCTCGACTTAAGAAAAAGCATTAATTTGTGTTTCCATTTATACCATTCACCTCTTGTACTATTTATTTATTTGTTATCTACTCTTTTATTTTATTTAGCGCTAAAAAAAATGCGGTTTTTTTTTTGTTTATACCCTTCACTTTTTTTATTTTCTACTTATTATCTACTCTTTTCTATTATTTAGAGCTGGAGTTTGCGTTTTCTTTTATACCATTTGCCTTTAACACTTTTTACTTTCTTATTATTTACTATTTTCTCTTATTTATAGCTTAAGAAAAAATGACTTATTTTTTGTTTCCAAACCTTCACCTTTTGTACTTTTTTCTCACCGGATATGTACAGTTTTCTTTTATTTAGAACTTAAGAAAAAGTTGTTAAATTAAATAATAATTGTATTACGTGTTGAATGTGACTTTTGAACTATTGTCCATCAAAAATTACGTAAGGTTTTGTAGTTTATTTACTTTTTTATCTTACTTAGGATTACGAAAATAGAATCAAATTAAATAATAATGTTTCTATGTTTTATCATTTTATTTAGACTAAGACCTCATATTAATAAGAAATTTAAGATTTATTTTAGGTTTCATTACTTATTTTTAATGATATAGATGCATTTTATGAACATTGTCATACAAATTAATAATCTTTTTCTTATGTTATGTTTTTCAAATAACAAATAAAAATATTCACCATTATTTATAACCTTTTAAAATTATTATAATCTCTCTTTTAACTCTATATCTTTTAAGTTATAATTAATAAAGTCTGAACTTATTTACCTACTTATAAAATTATTTTTCTAATAATTAATAAATATAATAGTTAAATTCATGCCCTATTATAACAGGGCACGTGCTTTTTTTACTAGTATTTGAAAATGTTGGATCATTTAATCAACCGGAAAATCCAACAAGAAAGTAACATTTGGAAATATGCAGCCTCGAACACTGAAATTCCACCATTGATGAACAGCTGTAGAAATAAAACTCAAAATTCAAAATCTACGTGATGATATATGATTGCTTTAAACCAAGAACAAACAAGTATAGATATATCAATACCACCACCAGAAGCAAGACTTGTCATGAGAAAAGCACTAACATTACATACTTCTTAAGTTTCCTTTTCAAGGACAAGAAGAATAATAATGATAATAATAACAATAATAATAATAGTAGTAATAATTTCGGAAAAGGAATACAAAATCCCTCCAAACCCCTTGCTCATCAACTTGTCACCCCAGGGAAAAGGAAGTTCAGAATAAATTTCCTGAAATTCTAGCAAAGGGCAATATGACTAAGATGAAACATAACAAGTATAATACTCTTATGAGATACTTATATCGTCAAATCCCTCAGCCTATAGAGTTAGAAAACTGTCACATCAAATTTTTCTTTTAAGGCCCGGAAGAGTTGGTTAAAATCGTACTCGCAAAATTCTTTTTGTTCATCGAATTCGGCTAAATTCATCGAGTCTTCTATACACCTTGGTGAGTACTTGGTGGCAGATCTCAGGAGACGTGCAGGGTCCACACATGAGATATATGACATTGCCTAAAGGCCTCATGTAAACACCGTCTTCACAAAGTTTCTTAAGAAGAGATCTCGCATAGGTCGACGCATACCTACACATAGCATAAAATCTTCAACCACAACCTCCTGAACAAAGAAAATGGTACAACAGATACTAGTAGCACCAACTTTTCTAGTCATGATCACATTTTCACTAAAACCTCCGGTGAAACTCGCATTCCACTCACTATTCGGAATTGCTGGCACTAATTCATTATCAAGAGCATTGCATATGCCGAGCTACTCTTCTGGCAATACTCGAGAACTTAAATAGATAATACAAACAAGAGAAAGCGATCAGAGCATACCCGGCATTAGGGCCTTCTGCTCGGAGTTCTAAGGCACAAAGGGTTCCCAATGCAACCACTCTCTCAACCGCAGGATGTGATGAGATCATATATACCAGTTCTTTGTCCCACAACTACAAACATTAAAGACAAAAAATGGAAAGATTCCACACAAGACCACATGCGAGAGCATGGCCAAGGATGAGAAAACGAACTCAATGGCAGCAAGAATCCCTTTAAGAAAACAAATATCGAATGCCTAAGCCATAAATGGTGAGACATATCACAGCCTTTCCTTTTGAGTTAGGCAGTTTAGCATTAAATATTATCTTGATGACAGCAGCAGCCTCTTGAATGAATTATAGGTTAAATTTCAGGAAATCCATAACAGGTTCGCTAAGATGTGAGTTTTAATGTTGGTTAAGTTGAAGCCTCGGCAAAACCACATCTTGCTACTTAACATTAACAAGCTAAAATCCAAAAAGAAAACTACATAATATTTTAATTTATCCAAAGAAAGTAAGTTCACTCAAGGTGAAATTAGCAAAATCATGCAAGCCCAACTTCTCCACCCTTGGAATCTTAATCAATCAATTGAAGCTAACTAAGAAAACAGAGAGATATTATCACAGACATTTAAAAAGAAAAATGTCTAGAACAGATTAGCTTACTAAGTAACTTGTTAGACGCAAACAAAGGATCAACATATTATTCCTAACTGAAAAATTTCAACGCATAAGGATGGTATAAATGCTAGGCCTTTCATAAGACAAACAAAGACAAATATACTAGCAAGTAGCAATACAAGCAATTCCTCAGAGCTTGGAGAAGGCATGTAAAATTATTTGGTAACATCTTTAGAAGTCAAAGATAAGACGACATAAATAAGAATAATAGCAACAACACATCTTTCACATACCTCTCTAAGTAACCTTCCTTCAGAAACTATATTAGGGTTTGTCCGAGGATCTTTGAACCATTTTATGGATTTCGCAGCTGCTGTACATCCCATAGCATGTGCTGAATACGAGTGCCCATGCAAAAGGGCCTTCAGCTATAACATAGCAGAGAGGATGTAAATATCCTAGTAATGATGAGTAACTTCATGATCCAATGACTCGATTCCCAATTGACATAAATCAACTACTGCTACCAATTACCTTTGAGTCTCCGATGAATGAGTCAAATACAGCATTTGTAGCCAATGTAGCAGCTAAAGGTATAATTCCACCTGTCATCAGCTTAGCAAAGCAGGCTATATCTGGTACACAGGAAAGTAGTTCTGCTGCAGTCTGTCAACGGAGACGAACTACTAATCAATCATAAATTACTTTTCAGAAAAGTATAAAGTGGTAATGATTATAGATATACTAAGAATGGTAGGGAATTCAAGAGAAAACCAACCTCTGTACCCAAACGCCAGAAACCAGTGAAAACCTCATCAAAGATAATTGGAATATTTTTACTCCGGCACACATTTACAAGAACCCGCTGGAAAAGTGGATCAACGAAATGCATTCCTCCAGCACCTTGTATAACTATAGAACATTTTAAATAAAGGATGACATAAATGCACAATCAAATAAAAGAGCAGGCACAGTGAACTAAATTAGGCTAATTAAGTTTCTTAATCAGAGTAACGAGTGCAAAACACATGGCAGGTGTTTGAGTTTTACTCAACAAAGATTCATTATTTCTTGTTCATCTATGTTAGAAATTGGTGTCCTATCAGTCACCATTCTGCGGTACTGACATAGCAAATGTTTGCACTTGAATGACTCAAGTTCGAGTAAAAATAAAAGGCCAGTACACACCCAGGTCAGATCGTCACACCTTGCATATTATACTAAATTTTTATCCAGAAATGAAATGGGTTTGGAAACCGCAAATATGACAATTTACGAAACGAATAAGACAAGAAGGCTATCAGAAACACCAAAGATAAATAAAAAGTGGTGACGTGGGATGGACCCAGAACCTAGAAAATCTGTACATGGGAACCCCTCCATTTACCCTTTCTTGTTAATATACACCTATGAGATCAACAAAGTTATTCAAGCAAAAAATTAATTCCAACCCTTCCATAGCATAAACCCTGTATGAAATTTACCACATGTGAAGAAATTGGGAAAGAATGTCTAACGTAACTGTCTTACCTGGTTCCATAATCAAAGCTCCAACAAGCCCCTCTGATTTAGGATATTGTTCTAACACACGTGATATATATAATGAATAAGTTTCTGCAAGATTTGACTTGTCCCTGTTTGTATTGAAAACTTCATTACGCGAACTGAAGGCTGTAAAGGTAACAATGCATGTAAGAAAAATGGTACACAAACGACAATTAAAGATAAATACTATATAACAAGAGAGACAGAGACTCACTTATGTTTTCAAAGTTCTCACTACTTGATCGCATTCCTTCAGGCAAGGAAACATTCCAGGTATTGTTGCACAAAAAGACTGTAGGAGGATCCAGAAAGAGGCCTCTTCCAGTGTACCTGTCACCGAAAATTATGAATTAAATCTAGCAAGATCCAATAGAGCTTACCTTGCTATCTTCTCTTGTTACAAATTGCAAACTAAAAGGAGGAATGGAGCTTCCAATGAGTAGCACAAACTACAAAATGTTTGACTGACATCTAAATTCTTTTCATGTTAAGCGAGGGTTGTGTTTCAGTCATATTATTCAAATATTTATCAAATACAAGCTACCATTCTTGTATCGCCATCAACTTATATCTCCATCTTCTAGTATTTTATGCAGTGGTACATTTTTTGTTTCTTCTTTTTATAAAAATAAACTGCTAGACATTTCAATCCCAATCAAAGATAAAGATGGGCGAGGAAATTGACAGGCTCATCACAATGTGTTACGATACTAATTGTCTAAAACTGCACATGTCCGAACCAAATTCCATGACCAGTTAAACTTATGATTCATTAGCTTCTTTTCTAAGACTGAAATTCATAAGTCATTTGAGTCGTCTTAATGCTCCCACAACTGCCTTCACCCCTGTAAAAGCTTGAAAACATGTTCAGAGCACATTTATACCATGGCTGTTGGAGGAAACCCGTATAAGAAGATGGTGCTTGTGCTTCCATTGCACCTAAAGTATCACCGTGATAAGATCCTGTAAGAGCTAGGACCTGAACAATAAACTCAAATTGTCATGAGAATTTAGAGGGGAAAAAAAATGCTCAAAATTTCAAAAGTTACAATCAATATTCGTCAGCGGTTGCAAGATTCGTCTACATTTCCAGGCAATACCTAACCAACTTTGCATGTCTGTGATTATTAAAAATATAGACTTTTACCCTCCACCCACTAACGGCCTAACACAAAAAAGAAAGCATTGATGCACATCTTTAGAAAAACAAAATGGAATGATGATCAGTTTATCTGATCTGCACGTTCCTTCGCTTTACAGTTTACATTACTATTTTAGCACTACCTACACACAAACAATGTACTCCATTAAACAGATTGATTAGCTATCCTAAAGTTATACCAAAGAATTGACCAGAATATTATTTCACGGTAAGTTCAACCTTGAGGAGGAGGCAGACTAAACATGGACCAAGAATCCCCAGGCGGTGGTTTTATTGTTAGACGAAGTCAAATTATCTTATTAAGCGTAAAGATGCATTTATTTAAATGAACAAAACTAATGTATGTGAATGGCATCCAAGCAAAGGGGGGAAAATTGCAGATAGAGAATATCAAAAGGACAACACTGACTTTAGCAAGATTGATATCAATATGATATGTGCAAACCAGTTAACGCGAAGTTATATGATGAAGGATCAATGACTCTCACCATGAGCTCAGTTCGTCTTTCAGATGAGTCATCATTTAGAATACCATGATCAAATGAGAATCTACGAAAGGCCATCTTGAGTGCAATTTCAATTGATGTAGATCCATTGTCTGAAAAATATGATCGTGAGGCCCAACCTGCATTATAGATGCACATTAAACAAAGATAAAGCAAAAACAAGAGCGAAGAGGACAAAAATACAGATAAATGATGAGTATACACACATAATCCAATTTCCTTGCATATCACCATACGACAATACATTCACTCTGTTTGACCCCGGATAAGAGATTAAATAAACAGAGGCCAAGCAACCGAATACAAATTCATCAATCAAAGAGGAAGCCTAGATTCATGACATGTGAAGGTGGTTTAAAAGATTCTTTTTTTCCTTTTGTTTTTGGGGATTTTGGGATCTGTTGGGTGTGGGAGAACCTTATTTGCATAACATCGATTGAAAGTTTTTGCTAACCTTTTCCAGCACCTTCAAGCAAAAGTTCAGCACATTCTAAGGCTGGCTCATACACATTCTCAGGAAACATTACATGCCCAAATCTTCCAGCAGCATAACCCATATCCCTTGCAAGTTCAGTCTGAAACCACCTAAATAACAGCCACATTAAAAAAGACCTTCAGACATCATTTCTCAATTCTATTGACAGCGTATGAAGTAAATATTTATTACAAACACCAAGATGGCAACATATACCCATATCTATAACTTATATAGGAGTGACGATATCTTTTTGTACTTCAACCATTCATTAAACCAATCTAATGGTTTAAATTTACTCCCATTTCAATCAAATGGTTAAAGTTTAGTCCAAATGGCTCAATTACTCTCTAACACCTCACAATCATACATCACTTTGTTCTTTTCTCTCTCCTTTTTTTTTTGATGTTTTTAACTTCGTGATAAACACCTTGTATGTTGTACACTCCCACACTTATACTTTGTCTTTTCTTTTCTTTTACTCTTTTTTTCTTCTTCACAAACCGTGCATGTATGTCAATTACAATTTTTTTTTTCTTCTTATCAAAAGTCAGCGTCAAATTTCAATTACAAACTATTAGTTTATGTAGTACCATGTAAAGTTAAGCATCTTAATAAAAAAAAATCATAAAAATGCGTGAAATTTTTACATTAAGAAATTAAACGATTTTTTTAATTCATATTTTATATTTTTAAATTCATAATTTTATTTTGAAACATGCATAATAGAACTTGAAGCACAAAAGTGCCGTAGGCACTATTACAAACTAGTACCACTAAAAGAATGCATAAAAAAAAGTTTAAAAATAGCAATAAGAGCAAAACTAAGAGCCTTCTCGTCCATGAAACTAAGGAACTAAGGGGAACAAAAAGGATGCGTTTGGAATTGGTTTTTGGTTGTTATTGAAAACGTTTTTGCACGTCTTTTGAGGCACAAAAATGAAAATAGTCTGCAAACCACGTTTGTTTAGCAAATATTTTGAAAATGAAAAAGAAAAACAATGAGGATGGTTTTTGTGAAGAAACTAGAAAACAATTGAAAGTTGTTTTTCCTTTTCTGTTTTCATTTTCTAATACTTATCAACAATGTTAGATTAAATAATTAATTATTAAATACTAATTATATGATATATTAATTAATAACTAATAAATAGATAATAATTACTTAATTATTAAATTGAATATTAATTTATTACTATTAAAATTTTAATTTGTTAATAAAAATAAGTAATAAATAGTAAAGATTAATTGAAAAAAGTTTATTATAATATACTAAGAATTAATTATTAATATTAAGTTATTAAATAAATAATTAATAAGTAATATATCAATCATATAACATAAATAGTAATTACTCAGTTAATAATTAATATTAAAATTATAATTCTTAATTGTGTAATATATATATCAATAATAATTAATACATAATAATTAACTATTATTTAAAGAATAATTACCAAAAATTGATCATGTAATACATCAAATAATAGGTTATTAGATCAACGTGAGTAATTAATTAATTAATTATATAATTAAAAGTTAATTATTTAATTAGAAAATAGAGTACTAATATATTATTAATATACTAATTATTTTTTACTAATACACTAATTAATTACTTTTACACTAATATTTATGGGTGCATTACTAACATAGTAATTACTCATATATTTACTATTAATTACAATTTTTTTAATTTTTACCATATTTATTTATTATATATATAATTTAATTACTAATGTCCTCATTAATAATAATATATCCATTGTTATTATATTACTAATATAATAATTTTTATTTGCTAAGTGATGATAATTATTAATTACTTAATATATTAATTTAACATTATTAATTATATGTACTCAAAACAAGATTTCATAATATAACCAAACATGATTTTACTTTTTTATCATACCGAAAACAATCTCTTAAAAGACCAACCAAACACAATTTCAGAATCGGTCATAGTATCATTCTCAAATAATCTCATTTTCACTTTTGTACTGAAAACAAAACCATTTTAAAAACGTTACTAAACAAGCCCAAAATTTTTTGCTATATAAGAGAGTACTCGAAATCACCCCCACCTTCTTTAGAACATCTACACTATGCTCTCGTGCACAATCTAACAAATGAACACAAATGCTCATACAATCATAGACATTGATTAGTGCTAGAACAATATAAAAATTAATGTCGGCTCACCTCCTAATAGCTAAAGCTTTTGAGAGAAATAGTAAATTAACAAATAGCCTTGGCATAAACAGAATCCAGTGATAATTATAATTGATACGGCCAGAAATCACTATCAGCAGACAATAGTTGTTTTTTATTTTCTAGAAAGACAGTAATCAATGAACTTGAAACATACTAAAATGAAAGAAAAAGAAGGCATATAGCTGCAAGATGATCTTCAGCCGTCAATCAACTACATGAACTGAAATATAATAATAGCCATAGACAGAACAGATACTCGTAAGTCTGACCTGTAAAATTGCATCAGGTCCTTGAGTCCACCAACTAGCACAAGCGTCAAATTGCTGAGTTATAACACCATCGTCTTCAGCCTAGAGCTCCATAAGACAAAATTAGCAACATATTCCACCATGTCAATCAATTACGGAAGAACAATAGCTTGCCAGAACGTAGGTTCTACACACATAATGACAGAATAAAGTTAAAATGCACACTAAATTAGCATAAAAACTATCAGGTGATACATATTACATACCTTGAAAACAGAAAAGTTCTCTCCACAACGTGAATCGATAACTGTGATATCTTCTTCCGATACAAGTTTGTGCTGAGTAAAAGGCCACCAGATAACATTGCCAGCCTTCTTTGGCATGTCACGCAATCTCTTTATGCGTTCCGCATGTGCCGATAGCATTGTGTCTACAAGTGAATCAAATACAACACGAGCATCCTTGTACCACTCAATCAAATCATCTGACAGATCTTGTGGAATAGATGGAAGCACAAGAACAGGCACCCTAAAAGAAAAAATGCCTATAATTCAACATGCAGATTTCTGCCTATTACTTGAGTATAAGAGGGACAGTTAAATGCAATATAGGGAATAAAGCCCAAAAAAAATAAATAAATAAATCACTGTAATCATGCATAAAGCATTTAACATGTCATAGTCCGCAACAGAGAAAACAGAATGGTGCTCATGTAGCTCAAAGATACTAATAAGGGCAATGTAAATTACCTTTGACGAAGGTATGATCCTAATGGCACTTCATTTACAAGACCATGGTCTTCGATAACAACAGCAACAACGTCATAACCTCGAAGCTTTAAACTTTCATAAGCTGAAATAGTACCGGAAATACCACCCAAGTGTCCATCTCCAACAAGGATTGCAGGTAGACGGAAAGGTCTGCCAGTATAAGAAAAAACATGATCAACGAAAATTCTAATGCAGACCATAGAAAAGTTTGACCAGGTATACACATGATGCTACATATGTAATACAATGTCATTCACTAAAATCTTTTTGAATCCTTTTGTAGTGAGGACCAGCTAAAACATAAATCACTGAGTGGTCAAATTGGGATGGCCCATTCCTCAAAATTACTGCAAAAATGCATTACATTATTTGACAATCACTTGTACTAGTTTACCAAACGAGTTAGTGCCCAAATAATTATATATAAACGAGTTTCTACAATTAAAAGAAAAAGAAAAGCATACATATATGTGTGTATATTATATATATAAAAGGTGATAACAAGCCTCTAAAACACATCCCAAACTAGCTAAAAAGCAGACAAATCTAAAATGAAACAAGAAAAAACATGAAACAATGAAAATTCTTGTAAAGCATACAATAAAAATTAAAAGTTAAAAAAGATTTGGCCACTACACAAATTATTCTGCAAATAACATACATTTACTAAACTCTCTTTGAATCTTTTTGGTAGTGAGAACCAGCCAAACATGACAGAATCACCCAGAGGCCAAATTGGAACCGCCAATTCTAGAAATTACAGCCAAAGTCCCTTACACTTTATGCCAATCACTTGTACTACACTACCTAACGAGTTTCTACTTAAAAGGGAATAAAAATCCATTTACAAGTGATTATTATAATGCTCAATAATAATAATAGGTAAAAAGCAGAGAAATCACCTGTAGAGGTCACACTGAAGAGTCCCAGACGGCCCGGGGCTAGCAACTCCGCCGGCGGTCTCAACCACGCAAAAGGCATTCACCTCTTCCTCCTCGTCAACTCCAGAATTCAACCCCATTTCCAACCGCCGCTGCAGCATTGCGAGCACCGCCGAGTCCTCGACCGCGCCGGTTTCCCTCTCGGCAGCCAAATGCGGCGAGACCGCCTCCCTCCACGCGAACATCGTCTCGCATATGAGCTCGGATGGAGCCCCGTCCGCTCCTTTTCCGCCGGAGAACCTGAACTCGTCACGGAAATCGGAGTCGGCCATTCCGAATCGATCGGCGGCGGAGGTTTTGAGGACGCGGTGGGAGGCGAGGAAGGGGTGGGTGGCGGCGGCGGAGGAGAGGGCGGAGAGCTTGCGGAAGACGAAGCCGGAGTCGGAGTCGGAGGGGAAGCCGGTCTGCAGGGGCTTGAGGTAGAGAAAGCGGCGGCGGCGGCGGAGGGGGAGCGGGAGGGGGAGAGGGAGGAGGAAGGAGGCGGCGAGGCCAGCGGAGACGAGGGTTTTGCCGAGGGAGGTGTTGGAGGACCAGACGAGGTAGGTTGGGTGGCGGAGAGGGAGGCTAAGGGTGGAGAAGGATTTGTGGAAATGGAGGCGGTGGCGGCGGAGGAGGAGGGAGGAGAGGGAAAGCATGGCGCTGTGGTGGTTTGAAATGGAGAGATGTTGGAGTTGGCGAGTGGTAGTGGGGAGGGAATTAGAGCAGTAGAGTACTTGTTTGGACAGGTGACTGACTGGTGTGTGTCTCACTGACTGACTGGGTGGTTCCTGATTTTTTCAAAACACCCCTCAATTAATAGAATTATAGTTGGAATTATAATTCGAATCATAATTTATAATTCGTTATAGTATTTTTTTTATAAAAATATACGTAAATTAAAAATAATTTTAAATAATAATTCTAAATTCATAAATTAAATTATTCATACATCCACTTTTATTTATAAATTTAATAGATTTATTGACGTGGCATACTGTTAAAATTAATTATGAATATTATATTATAATTAAATTTATAAAAACAATACATTTTGTTGATTGATTCAGAATTATAATTTAAAATTATTTTTGATTTATGTGTATTTTTTGTGAAAAAAATACTGTAACGAATCACGAACTAATGCTGAAACTTTGGACGGGCTGCCCACGACCACCTGAAAATACTGAGGTTTTGCCCGAGCCCAAGCCCGCCTGAAAAATTTGGGCCGCCCGCCTGAGCCCAAAAATGCCCTTGAACGGGCCGCGGGCTTATATTTAGCTACCCGAACCCGGCAGGCTGCCCGAGCCCGCCCGAATAGTTTGAATTTTTTTTAAATATTTTTTAATTTTTAAAATTATTAAGTTAGTTTGTGTTAAAATTATGTAAAAATCAAAATCAACATTCAATAGACATTATTAACACAATTGAATAAATTAATCATGTATATTAAATTCGTAATTCATGATTGCCTCGTTAAAAACCTTACCAAGAAAAACTCAATTGGGATAAAAACTTGGCAAGGAAAAAATAGTGCAATCATTTTGTGACGAATTACAAATTTTACAAACTTACAAAGTTATACAAATACAAATACAATGTCAAGAGTAAACACAAATTTACAAATTACAAAGTTACAATTTAATTTGAAGCTGAATGATCGTCTTCAAAATTAAATGTTAATCGATTAAATTCATCAATCCATTCTTGGCTTGCCGGCGAAATTGTATCCTGTAGACGTTGATCAGCCCGATCCCAATCCTTAATGCAAACCAAGGCTTCAACAATATCCATTTGCAATGCATTCTAGCGTTCCTCAAGTATTCTTCTTGTCGTACTGAAGGCTTGTTCGGATGAAATAGTGGAGACTGAGATCGAAAATATATCCATTGCCAATCGAGTTAGGATTGGCTAAGTTAATGTCTGTGCCCTCCACTATTAAACTAAGTCAAACGATTCTATCGTACCGTGGACTACTAAGCCTTCACTGAGGTACGCCATAAGCTTGTTGAAGCTGCCGCTGCCACTTGTTGACGAAGATTCACTCCCAGCTTCTGTTTAAGTTGTCTTCTTCTTCTTCTTCAACCCGAAAACATTCAAGAATGAATGCGAGTTTTCATCTTGTTGTTGCGGTTCCTGTAGTCTATGAGGTACTCTAAACCTAATCTCATATTTACTATAGATCGAATATAGTTTTTTCTTTATTATTGGATATTGGTCCTTACAATTTATGCTAAAAATTCACCTAAGTTTTCTAAACCTTCTAATTTTAATTTATGATCAAAAATAGTATCTAAACCATACAACAAAGGCAACTTAGACCAATATTTTATAAATTTCTTTTCCATATAATGGATAGGAACTGCTTAGATTGGGTCCTCCTTATATTCGCTAAATAAAATACTAATTCGTAAAAGTTCTCCTAAAGCTAAAGGTGATGTTGGGTAATATGTTCTACTAAGTTTTAGAGTCACTTCATGAAACCTACCTAAAAATTGATACAAAACTTCGGCAATTTGCCAATCATATGCGTCTATATGTCCTACTCCTACTTTTGCACACATATATGGTTTGTTCTTTTGGAGTTTAACTTGAGTATAATTTTTAAGTTGAATTTAAGTTATAACTTGAGTTGAACTTGTAACTTGAGTTTGTGTTTGGTTGTATACATTTGAATTATGGTTTGAGATAAGAATCTTTTTGAGTTTGTGTTTGAGTGAGTCAAAACTTGAATTTGTATTTAGACAGTATTTTAATAAAAACTCAATGCTGATGACAAATTTTAATAGGGTATATGGGTCGGGTTTTATTTGTCTTTTCGTTGTCAACGCATAGAAAAAAAATCATCTCAATCAGAATTAAAACGAAAAAGTTATAGCATTTTTAAGAATAGAAAAAATATTGTTCATTCATTTGAGTTCGAGTTTCTGAACTCGAGTTGAAGGGAAACTTGAACTCGAGTTTTAATCCTAAACTCGAGTTTAAATTTAAAAGAACATGAATTCGAATAAAGTTGTAATTCGAATTGCCTTTTTTTGAGTTTTTCACTCAAAAGAACAAGCTCATAGTTTGTTATAACATCCTTATAGGGGATGCATTGTTGAAGCATTATGTAAGTTAAGTTCTATCTTGTAGGCATAAATAACGCTAATGCTCTAAGAGGTATATTTAATGCTTGTAAGAACCTAAACTAATTTTCTTGTCTTTGGTTACTACCTTGAATCCATGCAATATTATCTCTAATTCTTTTAATGTGATTACCCATTTCTTTAAACAAGATTTAACAATTAAATTAATTACGTGACATGCACAACGTTGGTGGAAAATAGTACCGTCACCGAATAAACTTAAATCATTTTCAAAGAACTCAATTGCTTTTATATTGGTACTAGCATTATCTAATGTTATAGCCATTACTTTATCTCTTAATCTAAATTCATCAATTACATTTAAAATGGTATTATATATTAAATCCGCACTATATGATCCCAGAACACATTTAAAACATAATATTCTCTTATCTAAATCAAATCCTTTAAAGTAATGTTCGGTTACAGCTAAATAATCTTTATTGACAACAGCAGCCCAAATATCTGCCGTTAATGCAACGCACCCGCTAGTCGAGTGTAAAAGGTTTATTAATGCTTCTTTTTCTTTTTTAAATAATTTTAATAAATCTTTTCTAAGAGTCGTTTTTAAAGTAAACTGTGCATTAGGATTATGTACAACCTTAATATATCGTTGCCAATTAGGATGCTCTACAAAACTAAGTGGTTGATCTAAAGCAGCTATCATTCGTGCAACTTCCATACGATATACTTGCGGATCGTATTTTCAAGTAGTTAGACCACCGGTTGCGCGATCAAAAGATAATTGTGTTTGGCGGAGTTCAGGCCCGCCGAATTGGCTAAGCTTTTGAAGACACTTTTCGGAGTGTCTTCTCAAGTGTGTGGTGCCGTGAATAGTGTCACCTTGTAATTTAGATAAACAATATTTACACTGAGCTATATGTTTAGTGTTACCTTCATTGTCAATCTCCTCAATTATGTTGAAGTGATCCCAAACTGTCGAGGTGCGCTTGCATTTCCTCCTAGAGGTTGCAACACTTGCAGACGCAGTCACACTAGCACTCGTCGTTCTCCACGCCCACCACCATTGCGACCACGACCTCCAGTACGTCCACCAGGACTCGGATTAGTAGATTCTTGCGTAACAAATTCATTAGTGGGAAATTGCCCTTCTTCCATGTTGTGTTGGGCATCAACAGGAATACCACTATAACCAAAAAGATCCATTATAAAAAAAATAATAGCAATTTGAGAGAGAGAGAACTTTAGGATAATGTGATAGTTTTTAGAAAAATTGTAATAGAGATTTGAGAGATTGAGAGAGATTGAGAGAAATTGAGAGAGATTGAGAGAAATTGAGAGAGTTTGAGTGAGAAAAATGTGTGGGGGATGGGAGGTATTTATAGGGAAATTTTTGGGTTAAAAATTTGATTTTTTTTTTTCAAAAAATTCAGGGTGCAACGGCTGGTTTAGGGTTCGGCGGGTTCGGGCAAAAAACTAGCTGTTGGACGGGTTTTCAGGCATCTCGGGTATTCGGACAAAATTTGGGTCGGGCAGCAACGGTCGTATTTTTGACCTTCTTCATGATTTTCGGGCAGTCGGGAGGGTCGGGCATTCGGGCAAATCGGGCTTGGCCGGAAAATTTTAAAAAAAAACTCTGGCAGACGGCAGTTGACGGCTCCTACATGGCAGCGGGCTCCGGCGAGGTGCCCAAATTCGGGCTGCCCGAGCCCGAGCCTGAATTTTCACTTTGGTTGGGCCGGCAGATGGGCCTGCCCGCCGAGCCCAAAAAATTCAGGAAACGAGCTTGCCCACCGGCCCAAAGTTCCACCACTATCACGAACCATGATCTAAACCATGTCACGAATCCACTAACTAAACGCACTATAAATGTTAAATAATAATAAAAAAGTTAAAAAAATAATTATTTAGCCTTTCCTCAGGACCCAGGCCTCGTTCATTTCGCGGATTCAAGTTTTTAATTTGAGCTAAGATGTGACATTTTCTGAGAGCTTTTTACTGTAGCAGAAAAAGTTAGATGTGACATTTTATGAGAGATTTTTACTGTAAAAACTTAAAACTGAAAATTTGAATCGGTAAAATAAACGAGGTACCAGTCTGCCACCCACCCATCCTCACAACTCAGGTTAACGACCCACCTTCGTACTTCGATTACCATAATCGCCGATAATCTGACTTGAAAAGATGAAAGAGAAGGTGAGCATGAGCGTGATAATAGTGAGAGCCCTCTTTTCATTTTACGTTTTTGTTTTTAATTTTTTTTCTCCTTTTTGTTTAAATGCTTATTATTTTAAAAATATGATAGTTTTGAACATTCAAGAAGTTTCATTAAAGTTAATGGTGGACACCAAAAGTTGAAAATTTTTAGCGACATGAAACTAAACATAACAAGTTTTAAAGGTAAAAACCTAAATCACCCTTTTGACCTTAAGGCATCTTTCGAGTTTAGGTTTTCATGTAAAAAAATGTTGCGTTGGGTTTTGTTTCTATGCCTTGAGGTGAACTGATTTGTTTATGTGTATTTTGATTGCAAAATTTAACCAAAATCAAAGCTTGTTTTATGGGTTTTTAGCTAACTTTCGTCTTTGGCTTGTGTTCTGTAATGTACATGTAGAGGGTAAAATCTACAGTCAAATTTGTATTAGACCAATGACTGAATCCGGACCAATCAGAGAGTTAGTA